CACGGCGCACGGTGAGCCTCGCAGCTCAATGGGAGAGCGTTGGCGGCGCAAAAGCCTACCCTGCTTTGTGGGTACGGCCCTCACCGAGACCGTGAGCTTTTCACAATTGGGTCAACTGAATTTGCACATTTATCTTCGGACGAGTATGAAACTATGGCAAGAAGACCCGCTCCAGGCGTTCCCTCACCGCATTGGCCTATGCGTGCAAAAGATAACTTCGACATCATCATCCACCACCATTTCAAAAATCTTTGCGCTTAAGTTGTCCGTCACAGTGTACTTGGGAAATTTGATCCTCAAAAAATAACGGCCAGAGTGCGTAGAAGCATAGTCTGTCAAAAAACAATACTGCGCCTCGAAGCGAGTACCCGGAATCCCTGCTCTTGTGCCTATCGATTTTCTCTACTCTCGGCGATCGCCCCTCGGTAACTTAACTTACCTGTGCTTAGAACGAAATTTACTGCTGGACGACACGTTGACAAAGATGCCTACCAATCCTCAGACCACTGCAGTGGGCCCTTGAATGATGTTGTCGTCTAGGCAGGAAGACAAAAAGTTGGTCGCACGGGACAGGAGTTACAATCAAGTACACAGTCATTGATGTCTCATCCCGGTTTCTGTGGGCGGCGGATGTTCACGAGGTCCGTGCACAGGTGCGGTTCCTGGTACTTGTACTTAATCCGATTAACTCCTGTGGTTGTATGAGTCGGCTTCACGGATGTCACGGATAGTGGCAGTCCATTGGTGGTGATTGGAAGCCAGCTCCTCGCAGATGTCAGCACGGTGCTTGTTCCATTGTTGCAAGCCGTCAACGGTTACGAGGCTCATGCGTTCGACGTCCGAATTGACGGTTTGAGCCATGTCTTCAGTTGACGGCCATATGGATATCAACAGTTTGAACTACAAGAAAAGTTTGTAACCAACCTGTAGAGGTTCGTCGATGGTTTGCGCGGGACATGGGCAAACCATTGTAATCGGCGATGCTGGATCTATAATGTTAGACTTTGAAGTTTGAAATACCTGTGATACAGCTCAGCATCGGAAATTCGATCCTGCCAGGAGACTCTTAAGAGGCGTCGAAGACTTCGAGCGGTAGAATGTCTGCCTTTGTGACTGGCCATGTTTCGCAGGCATATACTAACACCGGTCTGATTGATGCTCTATATATTAACAGCTAAGTACGTAAGTGAATGTCTGAGCGAGATCGTAGTGGTCTGGCTAGCAGCCTAAATACATTTCGAGCTTGCGCGATTCACTTCCTGAGTTCTTTTTTGGTCTGTCCGTTGGCTTGTATATTAAAGCCCCAGTAGCGGAAGCAGCTAACTTCTTCGATGGGTTGACCACTGATAAACAGTGGCTGTGCTGTGCCCAGATGCATATTGAGAAACTTCGTCTTACGGATGTTAATCGTCAGACCAACAGTTGCAGCGAAGCTAGTGATGCGGTCTAGCGTTGGCTGTATTTACTGTGGGGTATTACTAAGCACGACGATGTTATCGGTTCCTGGTCCCACTAAGGCAATGGGTGCGGCCCTAAGACAGCAGCGCCGGAGAGGCTTGCAATCAGCGCCTGTTCAAATCTGAGAAGATTTCCTTTGCAGAATCCGCACCTTCTATTTTGTCAGACCCGCAAGCTTGCATATTTCCCAGTTGGCCTAGGCGGAGGCTCCCTCTTCACTATATCCGCTACCTGTGGCGCGCAGTTAAGCTGATCGCCAGTCCCCTGCTTACGAATGGAATGATTGCTTTCCCAGACAAGTTCGAAGGCTGCATTTTTGGTCACGTCGGGGTCACCAACTTGTTCCTTCATGTGAGCAGCAATAACGGGGATATAGCAATCAAACTTTATTGAGCTGAAGTGCA